CTTCCCTGCAGAGGAGGATCTCCTGTGGGGATCTTCCTTTTGGACAAACCACGTGTAAATTCTCCCTGGTGTCGGGAGGGCAGCACAGAGCCCATGTGGTTGGAATGTTCCTGGTGGGAGCCCTGCTTGGATGGGCTTGGGGGCCACGATGCTGCTCGAGTGGGCTCGGTGGGCACTGACCACCTTCCTGCAGCAGAAAGGACAGTGATATTTAACTGTCAGCCTTCAATCAAAGTGCATGAGCTGACTGCTGGCTGGAAAATCCTTGTGGAGTGGCTTTTCCTAAGGCAAGACTGGGGTTTGTGGGAACCCTGGGTTCCTTCCTGGTTGGCTCTGGATGCCAGAGGCCGAGTTGCTCCCGTGGCTGGTTTGGGGTTTTTCAGGTTGTGAGTGAGGGATGAGCTCACACCCAGGGCTCTGGACCAGGGAGGTTGCTAAGCTTCCTGACAGGAATCCTGGCAACCAAGAGAACCATGAGGTTTTGGGGAAGATCTGGAAATTATTTGTAAATGGAGGGTTTCCTCTCTAACCTCCTGTTTTGCCCGTTGGACCTTGGGAAGGCTGAAACAGTCCCAAAAGCAGCACGGAAACGTGGGGGTCAAAGCAGAGCTGATGGGATACTTCTGGCTGATGCTGAATCTGAGTTTTCTTTTGTCCTCAGCTGCCTTTCCTCATCGGCTGAACCTTTTTTACTTGGCCAATGATGTCATACAGAACTGCAAGAGGAAAAATGCCATCGTCTTCCGGGACACCTTCGCAGAGGTGCTTCCCGAGGCCGCCTCGTTAGTGAAGTGAGTAACGAACTGTCGGGGTGTGGGAAGGCTGAGTGGCTCAGAAAGTGGGGATCTTTCTTCTGACATCTGAGACTCTCTAGAAACATCAGCAGAACTTCAGGGATTTTGTTTGAACAACTCTGTGTTTGCGCTTCTCTCCCGGAGTGGGCTGGGAGTGAGCTGGGCTTTGGTCTGCACAGGGGGCTGGTGTGGGTCAAATTATCACTTGAAGGGGTGTGAGGGAAGCCTTGCACCAACACCCACGTGCAGAGAGAGCCCACTGTGCTCTTGTCTTCCAGGGATCCATCTGTTTCCAAATCCATCGAAAGAATCTTCAAAATCTGGGAGGACAGAAACGTGTACCCCGAGGAAACCATTCTGGCACTGAAAGAAGCTCTGAGTAAGTCACTTACCCTTTGTATTTCTCACCTTCCAAACCGACACGTGAGCTCGCTGAGGTTGTGGAAACAGTCTGGGGTCACTGAGGAGGATGAGGGGCATTTGTGCCTGGCACAGGCTGGAAAGTAGCCAGGTGTGGTACGTGAGCAGTGCCGGGTTCTCCTGCTTCGCCTCGTCTGTACCTGTCTAAAGGCAGCTGTGAATCCTTCCACATGGGCTGGAACTGCTCCAGCTGGGAGCAAACAGGGTGTGAAGCTGGAGTACTCCTGCACGTCCTGACCAGGGTGCCCTGGCTCTGCCTCTGAGTCCTGTTCAGCAATAGGTTGTTTGAACTTAAGTATTTGTGGGGCAGCAAGAGGCAGAAGCAAAGCTTGGAGGGTGAAGAGTCCTCGAGCCCTTAGGAAAGAGCCGGTTAAACCCAGGAATTAGCCAGTACTCACGTGCTTGAAGGAAATTAGTCCAGGTTTCGTCTTTACTCACATCATTGAGAGCTAAAGGTGCTCAGGAGACCCTCAGGCGAGGTCTGAGGTCGTCGTCACAGCAGGAGGAAGGTGGGGTCTCTGGTCAGGCTGTGGCGTGAGGAAAGGCTCCAGCTGGGTGTTGCATGCTGAGAAGTGAAGTTTGTGCATGTGGTCTGAAATCTCCAATTTCTGTAACTTGAAAACAAAGGTATTTGAGGTTCCAGGTAAATCAGGTATTGTGGCTGTTCTGCCAACGTGCACTCCTTGCCTGTTGAATGTTGATTCCATTACAGCCTCCCCTGAAGAGTTTGATTTTTAGATTGCTTGTGTTTTTTCCTTTTTACTGTGATTTTTGAACTGTCTGTAGCGTAAGGGCAAACAGAAACTTGATTTAAAAATGGCAGACCACCCCCAGGTTGCTGCATTCCTGAGTAAACCGAGGTTTCTCTTGGGCATCCAGCAGCTCCTCTAAGGAAGTTGGTCGAGGTGTTTTAAAACAAATTTCTGTTCACTCTTCCACCGTGCAACCATACGGCACCAAAAACCAGATTCTGACAGGGATCCCGTAATGCCAGACTGCCAAAAATGAAATGTTTTTCCAGGTACCACTTTCAAAACTCAGAAGCAGCTGAAAGAGTCTCTGAACAAACCGAATAAGCCGTGGAAGAAATCACAAAGTAAGGAACCACTGTGAACTCTGTGCACTAATATAGAAATTGGCTGCTTGAGGAGCAGGAGGAAGGCTGAGGGCAGAGCACCTGGGCTAAGGAAGGCCCTGAGATGTGCACACCGAGGAGGTGTTGGCACAAAACCACTTTGTAAAGGAAAGAAGTGAGACAAAAACAAGATAGGAGAGCAGAGGTTGCAGACGGGAGAGGAAGGAGCTGGTGGAACCTCCTGGAAGGTGGTGTTAGACTGGTCAGAGCTGGAGAGAAGACAGAGAGAAGCAGAAGGTGGACATTCCCCTCGTGCTCAGGAACACACCTGTCCCAGCAGGCTGGGCTGGGAGCCAGGAACTCGGAGCTGGGAGTGCAGGGACAGGACGTGGGAGTCCAACTGCCCAGGAGAGAATTTCTAATAAACTGACCTTAGTGATCTCACTGTGCACCAGAGCCCCGAGCGGTCCCCACGGCGAGGTGGTGGCACAGCAGGTGTGACGTGTGGGACATCAGCAAGGTCACCAGAGTTTGGAAGTGTTTATTACTGAACACCACAAGCTGCATTCCCAGACAGAACTGGGCTGTGTCCAGCGTGGATGGAGGGTTTAGCACTTTGCTTCTCATCAGCTGTTTCTCCTGTTTGGTCCAGAATCTGATGGATTTGGTGTCTCTTGCCAGCGGGACTCGCCCCCCCCGCTCTGTAACCAGGTGTCAGCACAGAGAGGTGACAGTTGTTAAGGCTCTGAGCATGGTCAGACCTGGGAAGTACCCAAGGGAGACCCTGCCCACAGGAAACCAGGGCTCCGTGTCAGCTCCAGGTGTGGCACTGAGGGAATAACATTCCCTTCCTTGTAGAGAGCTGTAAATCCTCGGATAAGGCCATTAGATGGACCCTTGCAGGGACTTGTCTTCCCGAGGAAAACCTGTGCCCAGGAAGTGTTGAGAGCATGTTAAAAACCAAAACCAAAGAGCAGCAGTTGTCACTTGTTGGCCTCGGTCCCGACCCGGCTGCGCGTGTCCGTGTCCCCGCGAGCTGCCGGGGGAACCCGGAGCGAGGAGGGGCCCCTGCATGGAGGGGAGGATGTGGTGGGTGACTGCCACCTGCACGTCTGTCCTGAGTTACCTCAGAGTATCTCTCACTAGGCTGACTGCCTTTTGGGACTGACTTTCCATCAGGACGTGGATCCTTCATTTCTTCACGTTTTTCCTTTA